CTCTTGCTATTGTGAACAAAGCTGCAATTAACATGGGTGTGCATTCCATATTTTATTTTATTTTTTTATTTCTTTCTTTTGTTTTCTTGTGTACTGTCGAATCAGATCCAACTGCCACAGTGGGAGCTTGCCCCTCCTTCTCCAGCACAGCATCTGATGCATTTGAACTGCACTTCTTTGGGATTGCAGTGCAGCTTCTTTGCCACTAGGCCACCAGAGCTCCCTTCAATCCCTATTTTTTTATTATTTATTTATTTATTCATTCATTCATTCATTCTCTTTCAAACATTGTATTAGAACAACTTAATGACAAAACTAATATATTCCTTTTCACTGATCCTTTACTGAGGCATGCATGAAATACTAATGAAGTAGCCATTTACTAATGAGAAAATTAATATTCCTACTGATTTTTTGGTGAAGTCAGAAGTACCCAAAGAGTCTCCCAATGTCTTTCTTAGGATTAAAACTAAATAAAAAAGATGATACAAGTATCAGAAGTCAAAACCAGGCCAGGTGCTGACTGTGGACCACACTATCAATTACTCATGTGCACGTTCAAATTGAAATTGATGAAATGAAAAAAGGTTCACAAGAACTAAAATATGACTTTGGGTCAATCCCACCTAAATTTAAAAATCATTTTAAGAATAAGTTTGAGGCATTGAACGCTAATGACTAAAGACCAGATGAGTTGTGGTATAACATCCATGAAGATAGCATAAAATCTTTTTAAAGACAGAGGAGGAAGAAAAGATAAAAAATGAATGTCAGAAGAGACAGAAAATAGCACTAGAGGTTGAGAATCCAAAACAAAAGGAAGAGGTGCCAGAGCAAAGTAGATGAACTGAAATTTTCAGAGGGTAGTTCGAGAACACAATATGGAAAGAGCTGGAGTTGGAGAATAAAACAGGAAGAACCCGCTCAGCAAGTTGAAAAAACTAAAAATAAATCCAAACTTTGAGTTGCAATAATAAAAGGTACTATAGGAAAAATCTTGACTGATCAAGGAAGCATCAAAATAAAATGGAGGAAATACTGTACCGAAAAGAACTGATCCACACTGAAATATTTCAGGAAGTGACAGATGATAAAGAGCCAATAGTGATGAGGAAAGAAGTTCATGCTACATTGAAGGCATTGGCAAAAAATAAGGCTCAGGGATTGACAGAGTACCAGTTGACAATTTCAGCTAACAGTTGCAGCTCTGGCCATGTTCAACAGATTTAGGTCGGGAAATCTGGAGGACAACTGACTGGCTGGCTGACTGGAAGAAATTCTTATTTCCATTTCCAAGAAAGGTGATTGAACAGAATATGGGAATTATCGAAGAGTATCATTAATATCATATATAAGCGAAAGATTCCTGAAGATCATCCAAAATAATACATTGACAGAGAACTGCCTGGAGTTCAAACTGGGTTTAGTAGAGGCCATGGCACCACGGATATCATTGCTGATGTCAGATGGATCCTGGCTGAAAGCAGAGAATGCCAGAACAATGTCCTATCTGTATTTTATTAACTGCAAAAAGACTGGTATGCATCATAACAAACTATGGCTAACATTGAGAAGAATAGGAATTAAAGAACACCTGATTATGCTTACACAAAGTCTATTCCTATACCAAGAAACTTGTGCAAACAGAGCAAGAGAACACTGCTTGGTGTAAGAACAAAGGTGTGGGTTAAGGCTGTATTTTTTCTTTATACCTATTAAATTCGTATGCTAATAGTTGCCAGGAGGGACGGGTCCTTGGAGAGGGACATCATGCTTGGGAGGGTGGAGGGACGGCGCAGGAGGGGAAGACCCTCTGTGAGATGGATTGATTCGGTGACTGGGGTAATCGGATGGGCGTGTCAGAGGCAGTGCGGTTGACACAGGATAGAGCAGGGTTTAGGGCTGTTGTGCATAGGGTCGCTATGAGTCACAAACGACTCGATGGCACATAACAACAGCAACAACAATAGTTAAATCGAGAAGCTGGATTTTATGAAGAGGAATATGGCATCAATATTGGAGAAAGACTGATCCACAGCCTGTGTTGTCTTGTGCACTTGACACAATTTTGCTTGCTGTGAGTGAGGAGAACCCAAGGCGCTTGCTGCAGAAATCAAAGACCACAGCCCTCAACATCAATACAACAGAAAATCTTCACCACTGGGCCAATAGACAGAATCATGATAGGTAGGAAAAAGATTGAAATTGTCAATGATTTCTCTTAATTTAATCCACAGTCTGGTGACATACAGAATCGCGAAAGTCTGCTGTCAAGTACCTCTCCAAAGTGCTAAAGTTGTCATTTTACAGACAGGTATGCCTGATTCAAGCTGTGGTTATTCCAGTCACCTGCTATGCATTTGAATATTGGATGATAGAAGAACCACCGAGGCCTTGAGGTGTGGTTTTAGAGAAGAGTATTGAGTAACCCATGGACTGCCAAAAAGAACAGGTTGTCTTGGAAAAGGTGCAGTCAAAATACTCCTTGGATGCAAGGATGGCAAAGCTTTGTCTTACATACTTTGGGCATGCAGTTAGGACATGCTCTTCCTTTGAGAAGGATAACATACTTAGAAAGGTGAAGGGTCAGCAAAGAAAATGACTCTCAGTGAGATAGATTGATACAGTGACTGTGTCAGTGGGCTCAGTTGTTTGCAATGATGAGGATGGTGCAGGATAGGATAGGGTTTAAATATGTTCACAAGGTATGTAGCTAACGGTACCAAGCATGAACTACTACTACTTAAGTTTTTAGGGCATTCTGGTGGTGTAGGGGTAAGGAATTGTGCTGCCAACATAAAGGCATGCTGTTGGAATCCACCTGCCCCTTCACAGGAGAAAGATGGGCAGTCTTCTCCCACGTGATATATTGCCTTTGAAAACCTGTCAGAGGGTCTATGAGTTGCTGCTGACTTGATGGTACACGGCAGCAACTTAAGTTTTATGTCTTTAGACAGACCTAGAGATGAAAACATTTGCTTCGAATAGATCACAAACATACCAGGAATCGGGGCTAATTATGGGCGATCCTGTCTCTGCCCCGCCCCTCCTATCTCTCCCCACTCCCCTCAGTTTTCACCTTCAGATGTGACTTTGTGTCTGCCCCAGAGGATTTTTGGAATAAAACTACGGAGGTTTAATGGTCATCTGTTTTTCAACATGGAAGAACTAGGGCCATTTTTCACCTCTTCAAAATAAAAAAACAAATTGTACTTTTTTTCTTATTGCAATCTTCTCCCTTCCCCACATGCCACTTAATGACTAAATAAATATTCTCTCAGATGATGCTTTTTCTCCCCAATTCTGTGCTATTTTTTGATAATTTTTTATTATTTTTCATCTAAGCCAATCTCATAGTCATTCTATTCCAGGTGAAACAGATGACTTAATCATAGCTATTAAGTAAAAAGAAGAGTAATTTGTTACTGAATACTTACATTTTGATAAACAGTGCTATATTTGTTTATGATACGGCCATGTCAGAGAATAAAAAAGCTAGGCACTATAGTGAAATGAATAAAAAAATGTGTCACGAATCATATTTTAACTTAGGTTTAGTGAGCTACTGATATGACTCACGCTGGGATTGTTGGATTCTTTTATTAATGTGTGTTTGTACAGCCATAGATGGGTTACAGTGTCATGCATTGGAAAAAGTTACCTGCATCCCAGTAGCCTTTGGAATACCAGGATGTGTGTTGGAATTTTTCTCTCATAAAAACAGATTCATTGCTGTTGAATTCAAACTGACTCCTCACTGACACCATCATAGGCTGTAACTTGCATGAGGAGATGATTGCCCTTCTTTCTCCCTCACCTCTGGTGGATTCAAACAGGCTCATCTCCCTACAGACTATGCCAACAGTACTCTCTTAAAAGTTCTCTAAAAAGATCTTTGTGTGTGTGTGGGTAGCTAAGCTAGTAGCAACCAGAGGTGTGTTAAGTTTTTCCTGGCCAGGCATATATCTAGTTTTTCATGTCTACTAATGATGATACTTAAATTCAGAACTCTGTAGATTAGCTCTACCAAAATGAGGAAAGAAAAATGACTTTTCTGTGTTTATGTAGTGCTCTCTTTTTTCCCCAATGTATTCCTTCTTAAATTTTTTCTTTCAGGTTATACCTACAACAGATCATATAGATACAGAAAAATTGAAAGCCAGAGAACAAATTAAGTTTTTTGAAGAAGTTCTCCTGTTTGAGGATGAGTTACATGATCATGGAGTTTCAAGCCTAAGTGTGAAAATTGTGAGTATTCGGAACTTTTGTTTAAAATTAATTTTTTTTCATGTTGAGTAGGAATGGAAGACTCATTTCAAGCCGGACCAAGTCTAAACATATCACAGTTGGAGTTACCTTATTTTCTATTCTATTATAAATTTCGGTGAGAGTTAACTGACTGCTTTGTAGTTTGCTTAACTTGAAGAAGCTAAATGACGTTAATGTGTACATCTTCAGATTATACTGAGGTTGATAGAATCTGAGGATGACAAGGTGGCTGTCAGTTTAAAAGATCACCAATATGTCAAGATTCTGTGTACCGTTAAACAATCAGTTTAGTTTTCCTAGCATAACAGTGAGAACAGAAAGGACATGTGTAATAATTTCCCTCTTTTTTACTTTCTGTTCTATCAGTAGAGGAAAGACTACTCCGTTCACTATGTTGTTGGTGGCACATACTTAAAAAGTATAATAAGTAGGTTACTCTAAAAATTACTTTTATTTCTTAACTGTAAGGTTATATTTGATTTCTGATATTTTCTGCAGAAACTGCAACTGAAACTGTTTACTTCTTGCCTCTTCTTTTAAGACTCATCTAAAATATTACATCCTCTGTAAAGCCTTTTAAGACTCCCAAAGTAAGATTGATTATCAATTTTCCATATTTTTTTTAAAAAAGAAACACTCCTTTGCAGCACTTTAAGACCTGTCAAAGACCACAGCATCAAATACTGTTCTTAAAGTATAAGACTAGATCATCACGGTTACAATTTAAATGATAAAAATGACAAAAGTAATAAAAAACAGCAATAAATTTGTTTCAAAATCAAGTTTTTCTGTAAAATCATGCAGTATTGGAACCATAATGATATTGGAACATGGAATGTAGGAAGCATGAAATGTTGGAAAACTGAAAGTTGTGAAGATGAAGTGGAACACATGAACCCAACATTCTAGGCAATAGTGAGATGAGATGGACTAGCTTCGGCCACTTTGAATCAAATGATAAACAGGAAGAATGGTGTTGAATGCTTGGCTAAAAAGACAACTTCACATTCTACCTGAAGAACAATATTGTGAGTGATAGGATATTATCCATATGCATACAAGGAAAACCTGTTAAGACTCATATTGAAATACACACTGCTATAGCTACAGCCAAAGAGGAAGAAATTGAAAATTTTTACCAAGTCTTGCAGTCCAAAATTGACCAAACGTGCAACAAAATAAACTAATGATGATTGGTGTCTGGAATGCAAAAGTTGGAAACAATGAAGAAGGAGGGGTAGTTGGAATATAAGGTGACAAAAATGAGGCTAGAAGTAGAATGATTGAATTTTGTTACAAAGTTAAATGATTTATTTGTCTCAGATAACCTTTTTTTTAAAAAAAAAACACAAGTAACAAATGCTGACAAGATTGTGGAGAAACTAGAACCTTTATTCACTATTCTTAGAAGTGTAAAATGGTGCAGTAACTCTGGAAGGCAATGTGGCGCTTTCTCAAAAAAGTTGGAAATAGAAATATCATTTGACCCAGCAATTCCACTACTGAGAATATACTCTAAAGAAAACAGAACTGCCACCCAAGCAGATATATGCACAGCTATGTTAATTGCTGCTTTGTTCACAATAGCAAAGAGCTGGAAACAGCCCAAGTACTCATCTACAAACAAATGGATAGAGAAGCTGTGGTGTATTCACACAATGGACTACTATGCAGCATTGAAAAACAAGGAACTCATGAAATACGCAAAATGGGTCACCTGGAGGACATTATGTTGAGTGAAGTATCTCAGTCACAAAAGGACAAATACTGCCTAGTGCCACTGTTATAAAACAGGACTGACATCAGGGTTGGGGGAAAACTAAGAAAAGAGAGGATAAACAATGAACCGTGCATTGAAACAGATGAGGGGGAGAACTGTTTAAAAGGGATATATGATTAGGTATTATTTGCATTACAAGAATCCAGAATAAGAGCTGCATAGTAAAGTGGACTGGGAGTGGGGGAATGGGGGGAGGGGGAGACACACGATTGTATAATAAAAGTTTTTATTTGTTTGGGTTTTTTTTCTTTTCAAAGAGAAAAGCAAACTGGGGGGAGGAGTGGACAGGGAATAAAATGTGCAACAGTGAATTAATGGCAATCCAAGTTCTCTATAATCTTTAATTAAAATATGAGTAAAAAAATGAATAAAACAGACAAACAAAACAAAACACAAACAGCAACTTTAAACAGGGACCTTACCTGAAGGACTGGATAGGAATCAGATTGACTACAACTATGGAAGGAATTGTTGGAGAAGCTCACTGTCAACAGTTAAAACCAGTCCAGGCAGGATTTTGGAACAGACTATCATTTACTCATGTACAAATTAAAACTGAGGCCTAATAAAATTAAAACAAGTCCACAAGAATCAATATATGATCTGAATCTCTCCTACCAGAATCTAAAAATTATCCTAATAATAGGTTTGAAGCATTGAACACTAATGATCGAAGCTTAGATTAGTTGTGTGGTATTACACCCAGGATATCATTCATGAAGAGAGCAAAAGGTCATTACGAAGACAGAGGAGAAAGAAAATCAAAATCGATGTCATAAGAGACTCTGAAAATTATACTAGAGCGTCAAGAAGGGAAAACATGCTGAATTAGAAGAGCTGAGCAGATTTCAAAAGGCATCTGAAGAAGACAAAGCAAAGTATTACAATGCAGAGAGCTGAAATTGGACAATAAAAAGGGAAGAACTTGGCATTCTCGAGCTGAGAGAACTAAAAATCAAATTTTAAGCTTTGAGTCGCAATATTGAAGGATACTGTGGACAATATGTAGACTAATCCAGGAAGTGTCCAGAGAAGATAGAGGAAATACACAGTCACTTACCAAAAAAGAATTGACTGAAACTGAAAAATTTCACAAAGTACCATATGATCAAGAGCCAATAGTGATAGAAATTGAAGTTGCACTGAAGACAGTGTCAAAAAAGGAGGCCCTCAAAATCAATGGGATACCAACTGACATGTTTCAACTAACAGATGCAGTTCTGGATGTGCTCACAAGTCTCTTGGACAGGAAATTTGGAGGGCAGCTATCTGGCTGGCTGACTGGAAGAGATCAAAATTTATTCCCATTCCTAAGAAAGGTAATCCAACAGAATGTGAAAACTAGCAAACAATCTCATTGTAGTATCACTCTGAAGCAAAATACTACTGAAGATCATTAAAAAATGGCTAGAACAGTACACAGATAGGAAGTTGTCAGATGTTCAGGGAGGATTTAGAAGAGACCGTGGCACTAGGGATATCACTGCTGATGTCAGATGGATCCTGAAAGAAAGTAAAGAATACTGGAAGAATGTCTGTTCATATAAAGGTATTTGTTTGAATCATATAACAAATTATGGCTAACATTAAGAAGCATGGAAATCCCCAAAACACTAAATTTTGTTCTTGCAAATCTTATATCTAGAACAAGAGACTGTTGTTTGAACATCACAAGGTAATACTGCATGGTTTAAAATTAAGAAAGAAGTGCATCAAGGTTGTGTCCTCTCCATACATATCCAGTCTGAATGTTCAACAGATTAATCGAGAAGCTGGACTCTGAAGAAGAGTGTCGCTTTGAGATCAGAGGAAGATCATTGATAACCTATATTCTGCAGATTACACAACCTTACTTGCTGAAAGTGAGGAGGATTTGCTGTAGATGGTCAAAGAATGCAGCCTTCATGATGGATTGCATCTCAATGTTAAGAAAACAAAGAATTTTACTACTGGACCAGTAGGCACCATCCTAGTAGATGGAGAAAAAATTGAAACTATCAACAACTTCATCTTACTTGGATCCACAGTCAACACCTTTGATACTAGCAGTCAAGAGACATACTGCACTGGGAAAGTCTGTAGGCAAGAACCTCACCAAATTACTGAGGAGCAGTAATGTCAATTTGAGAACTAAAATGTACCTGATTCAAGACTTGGACTTTTCAGTCACTTGCTATGCATCTGAGAGCTGGACAATAAAGAGGACAGAAAGATTGATGAATTTATTTAAGTTGTGGTTTTGGAAAAGAGAACTGAATGGGCTGAGAGAAGAACAAATACGTCTTGGAGAAGGTGAAGCCAGAGTGCTCCTGGGAGACAGATCATAAAGCTTTGTCTCACTTACTTTGGGCATGTTGCTAGGATTGTTATTCCTTGGAAAAGGACATCATGTTTGGGAAGGTAGAAGATTGACAAAAGAGAGGAAGACCCTCAACCAGGTGGATTGGCACAGTGACTGGGGCAATGGGCTGAGATGTCAGAGTGTGAGGATGCCACAGGATAGGAAAGGGTTCAGATCTGATGTTCGTTGGTTGCTGTAAGTCACACTCAACTTGACAACACTTCACCAGCACAACAGTGGTATTTTAGAAAATTATTTTGTTCAGTTTCCATTTTGTATAGAAATAAGCTCAAAAGATGATTGCAAAAATTTAGAAAAAGAATGATTGTAAAAATACTAGCCTGTGCAAGGTTGTAAAACTACATTAGTGAAAACTTTTCTTTGTACCCTATAACACTTGTAATTATTTCATCTTTAAAGGTTTTCTTAATGCCTTACTCCCTTGCTCACCTATAACTCCCCCAGTTTATCTTTTGTTATTTAGATTGATTCACTCTCCCACTCATCAAGTCATGTACTTTTCCATTTTTCTACCCACCTGCTGAATTAACTCTAATAATTGTTCTTTGAGTTTGCATGTCTGGGTGTGCATTCGTATTCAGGTGGGTGCCTCTAAGTGAGTAAGTACGTGGGGAGCAAATATGTTTCTGTGGAGGAAGATGTTGGAGAGAGAAGAGGTTTATGTATATGTATGTATCTAAATACGTAGTTGGTAATAGCACCTTAAAATGTTCTTTCTTCCTGCCTGGTTTAATTTTTATTAATTACTTGATCATGCTGTGTTTTTAGAGTGCCTAAAAGTATTTATTTAGAATTATGTCCTTTCTGGTTCACTAAGTTGAGAAAACAGGGAGAGGT